TTTTTTTTTTTTTGCTTATAATAATAATTATAAAAAAAAAAAGTGGTCGCTTTCTATTTTGCATCAACATTGTTCTTGGGTTTCATAGCTAGAGATTCATTCGTGAGTCAACTTCCTACATTACTCCTATGGAGTTTTTTATATTAAATGATTCATAAATTGTGGAGATTAACTCTCATTACAGCTAAAATGCAGCTTATATAACTTACACCAGTAGAAGCATAGCCATATTTTTTCTTTATTTGGTCAATATCACCAGTTTTCTCGTCCTGCGGCTCATCAACTTCTGGCACTTTATCATTCTTGACCTTTTTCAACTTGCCTGTAAAGAAGAAAAAATAAAATTATGGGATCAAGAACGAGTCGATGAAAAGATTCTATTAGAAATTGATGAAAAATTTATTCAAACAGGACTTACGAAAAATTTATTCAAACAGTTCTTTATTTACTATCCTGGACTAACCTTTCATTGCTTGAAATTTATTTGTAATGTTGTATCTATTGAATCCAGCCATCACCGAATTTCCTCTTGGTTTCTCTTCGGGATCTTCAATGTCAATATCATCTTTTCGGACCATAACAGAAACGGAGAACAAATGGCAAACAAAATAAGATCAAACATCACTTCACTGTTAAAATAATTAAGAACTCGCAAAGCTCAAGATTTCGTGCAGAAAATGAGAACCTATATCCAAGTCAACGTCCTCGTCATCCTTAACGATCTTTTTTTCTTCAGTTTCCGTGTTAGTTGGAAAATTTACAGCTGAATATATGGACAAAAGTTCTTCAATACTTTCCCTAGAGGCTTTAGTAGTTTCCATCTCCAACCCATTAGTTGCTTTTGGGCCTTTATTGTCTTTAACCAAAGCGCTAAATATACCCTGTAAACCACACCAATCAATTTTTATTTTTATTTTTATTTTTTTTAAAAATGAGTAAAATCTTCAGGAGTACAAGGGAAACCTTTTTCTTTTCCTTAACGGGGGATAGCGAGAGAAGCACTTCACTGTTTTTGACGAGGTCTTTGTCAAGAACTTTGGTAACACAGTCCACATGTCTTGGATTGGATATAAATATAGAAAAACTAGTTCCATAATTACAGTCTCTGAGTAGCCAAAAGTGAAAGCAGGCTTTTTTAGAATGTTTAGTACCTGTAAGCCTCTTTGTGGAGCAAAGTTGAAACGAAAAGTAGTTCTTGGTTCCCATTGACCTTAAAATATAGAGAACAAATACTGAGCATATTTGTTAGAAGATTTTCAAGGAGAAAAAAACTAATGATATCTTACGATGATAAGGTCACCAGCAGGAGATGAGGATACTATAAAGTCTGATATCGAGGATTGTCTCAAAGTTGAAGATGTAATTGCTCTTATTGAACTTTCCTTCACAAGGGATAATTCAGGCAGGGACCTGAAAATTTTGTATTAAACTATTAAAAAGATGAAGCGAGATCCATTTGTTTCATGCATGCAAATTAAAGAAAAAAAAATCTAAAACAGAAAGAAAGATCCATCTCATAGAGAACATTGTATTTTGCAGATTTTAGAATTTGGTAACTAATTCAACCAGAATCGATAATTTTCCAACACTTTAGTCTAGCTGAAGAAGTTGGCGAATTAGAACCAAAATCAAATGGTTGAACCATTATTATGCATAAAGATTCAATTATGAAGGGTAAAAATTCTTTGTTTAAGATGTCAAAGGCATATATTACAGAGATGGAAATGATCAAAGGTAGTTTATATAAAATATGCAGCAAGTACCTAATCTCGATTTTGCCACTGTCAAAAAGAAGTATAAGTCCAATATCAGGTGAGCCAAAAGTTGATGCCCAGTGACAAGATGAAGTAAATTTCTTTTTGTAGATCACTTTCTTAACACCCTGACCAAGAAAGAATTGAAAGAAAATAAGAGCCGGAGTTTCTACACAATTAAAAATGAAAAAAAAAAAATGAAAAAAAATATTATTACATCACGCGTACCTGAACTAACTGCAATAAAGAGTACGCATAAACAGCTTTTTCCGAACATAGCAATACAAATGATTGTTTGGGAGTTGAGTTGTCCACACCAGTGTTGTTAGTTTCCGCATTATCTGGCAAATTAATAAAAGCAATCAAGAAACTGAAAAATCTTTGTTAAAATAATAGGTGGAAAATCTACAAAGCGTGCACACGAAGAACTGCAAATGCAAATACTCACCCAAGATCCGTGTAAATAGAGCTTTTGACGGTTTATTTGGACGAACAACTCCCGAGCTTAGTGTGTTTCCAGTATCCCTCTCGAGTGTTACAAAAGATGAATCTTTTGATGCCACAATAATAACATTCTTCTCAAAGCCATGTAAGCTGCATGTCTCGAAATGGGTCGTGATAATCCCTGTGCAAAATTCACTAACTATATGCTTCTGGTACAAGATACTGGGACCTTCTAGATCAATTAACGACACCTGTGGAAAAAATGTCCAATATGTTAAAATAATTCAGTGGATCAAAAGAATGTAGTAAAATTCCTGCAATTGACAAATAGAATTTTTTTCAGTGGCTACTTAGCAAAAGAAAATCTTTTGATGATGGTGCTAATATATAACAACTCTGTTCGACTTAAATGCAAGAAAATTCATAACCAATAAAAGATGAAATTTTGACTTGTGATTTGTGAAAATCAACCAAATAATAAGACATACATATCCTTGGTCAGATCCAACTGCAAGTTGTTTCATATCGTCACTTGCAGTTATACATAGTACTGCACCATTAACCTTCACGGCTTTAATTTTACGGATAATGTGATTACTTCCCTTCTTTGAACTTCCTGCAACCAACATTTTTCAAAAATAGTGAGCAATTACTTTCCGAAGAAAGATATTATTAACATCTTGCCGAATTCGTATCAATTGTCATTTATTAGTTCCTTTATCGAAAAGCTATATTAATATATGCTAGAATATCATCACAGCAGGAAGGATAACTATAAGAAAAGCTTAGGAACCTGGGAAGGACACAAAAGTGCTTTGTGGGGCAAATGACTCAGACTTCAATGCATATACACGAACCTGCATTTAATACAACAAGTGAGTTGCCTTCCAGTAGTTGAAATTCCGAAAAAAAAAAAATGCATCAAGAAACATTTTTTACCATCCCACTTTGATCTCCAGACACGAGAAGGTGCGATTCGTAGCTAAACTGCAATGCTGTCAGTGGCACTCCACTCAGAGATAAATCATTATCACTCTGCACATTAGAAAGATATAAAATTTATTAATATGATAAATTTGTTAAATATCCAGAATGTATTCATAAATAATCATAATTAAAATATCAAGAATTAATAAATTTTGAAGGAAGGAATAAGTTGAGAAAAAAAGAGGAAAATAAATTATACGACTGGTAAATAGTTGCTGTGTGAGGTAAACACTTTTGTGGGTTAACTTGGTCGTTCAAAACGAGCTTTATATCTAAAGCTTGTATACATCACACACTTATATTAGTAGGTTTCACAAAAATGTCTAATAAAACTACTTATATCCAACAATAAGTCACCTGTTGAGTTATAGATGCAACTGGAAGCAAAAGCGGACAAGACGCATCCCAAAAGTTAATTGTTCCTGAACTATGTCCCGTTATAAACAGGTTACGCGCGTTCGAAAACGCACTAAAAGCAGTTGGATTTGAATTCCACCCATCTTTTGCTCCTTTTTCAAATGGTAAAAAGGGCAAGGCATTCTTCGCTAGTATATTGAAGTCCTGAATGAACCGCACGAATGAAAAGCCAAAAAAACCAAAGTCAACCATTTTGTCTATCATCACTCGAAAAAAAACATTACTAAAAGTTCATGCGAAAAATCAGGCCTACCTCGGCCACTGATCCCGGCACGCATGGGAGGCTCGTGATGAACTTAGCCACAGTAATAGCACCTGAATCACAGTATGGTAGCTTTATCTTTACTTCCTTTGGAAGTGAAGGGGATGATGATTTGGTTTGACATTGTACAAGGTATCTTTCTATTAAAGAATCATCATAAGTGTATGCATGACTTGACCTCCCTATCAAAAGAAGAAAATCGCATCTGTTCTTGTTTTGTTCGATGGGGCCTTTTGTAATTTCCATGTCAATCAAAGACTCCGGGAGATGGAGCCCTAGTTTAATCGTCCGACTTTCGGTATTTTCATTTAGTAAAACCACCTGCCACATTGCATTTAAGTTTTTCACACAACCTCTCAGCAGAATGAAGGTCAATAGTAAAAAATAATTTATTAGGGACCAAAAGGAAAATAAATGACCTGCAACAAATTTGCCGAATGGCCCTCGGACAAGCCCAAAACGTATAGCCGGCTAGATTTTCCGTCGGCAGGGACCCATTTGAGCTTTGCAATTGGAATTTTGTCAGCTTTGTACCCAAGATTCAGCTTATAAATGGGAGTAATTTGGCCGGGACACAATTCTTTTTGAAAGGCTTGTTCGGTTTTCGAATCTAAAGGTGACGAGAGGCCCCAGAGGATTATATCTCCATTACTGTACCCTACAGCAGCTTTGGTCCCAAGAGGACAAGCCCAACATGCAGCTGTCACTTTCTTGGCCTCTTGATAGGTAGATTGCAAAGTGGTACCATTACTGTTTGTAGATAAGACTTTGCTTTCTTGTATTCCCCAGAGTGTAATAGCCCCATCTGAATATATAATGAGACCCTGAAAAAAAAAAAAAAGGTTAAAAACAAGATAAACGATTTTTGAGGAAAAAGTAGAATACCTTTTAGTTTCAGATGTTGGTTGGGGGAGAACAAATTTTGCCATAACATCACTTCCGACTTCATTTAACTTGCCTGTACACGCACAATATTATTTAGTAATGATAATCAAACTACACCATTTGTAAAACTATTATGTTTGAAAAGGTCATCGAAAGAGAAAAGATTATTATTATGACTACAAAGGCTACCATGAGATGCTGAAAGAGGAATACGGTAATTCATTTTCTCGATTTGACACGGCTCTTGGTGAAGCCTCAGGACAGTTACATCACCAGTGGAATCTCCAACATAACTGCCAACAATAAGATACAACTTTTATAAACAAACTAAGATTTATTTATATGCATATGAATTAATTTGTGACAAAGAATTTGGGTTGAATGAATACAGGTAAACTCCATTGCGCATGGCCGTAAATGAGGTGATTTCCTTCTCAAAGTGATGAACACCAGACAAACACTTGTTGTCTAAATCCCAGACCTACAGTTATTCTTCTAGAAAAAAATTAGTGACTCAACTTCATGAACTCGAACCTATAGCAAAGACTACGATTTTTTGATCTCAAGGAAATAAAAAAACAATGAAGGAACAAATAATAAAAATCGATAGTACTTTACCTCGATGTTGTTGTTGATATTTACATGCAGAAGAATGCCTTGGTTCTCTATAAACTGTCAACAAATATTATAAGTTTCTAACTAAGTTAAGAATTTTGTGAAACTGAAGAGTATAAATATAACAGTATGCTATATATAGCACAGACTCGTATTCAGTACAAAGTAAACACGAAGTACTCAGAGGAAGTCCTAAAAACACTAACCAGCAAGAATTTGCTGGGCGAAGTCTCTGGAGATTCCAATAGAGCTTGTGAGCCATCTTTACCGAACAATTTGATTTGCCCATCCCTAAAGGAGAGATAAAGGAGATTTTATCTAGTCAAAACATACTGAGGCACTAATGAATTTCGAAATAACTTAAAAAGACAATTTGGTCAGAAATATGCATGAGAAAGCTTACTTAGTTGAGATGGCAAGAATTTGTTGAATAGAATCAAATGCAAGCAGCATAGATCCTGACGGGATTCCATAATGGAAAACTAAACGAGGGCTTACATCATCAGGCTCCAAACTATCAGAAAATCCTGCATGCTGCAAACAACAATGGAAAAAGAGACATAATTAATTAGGCATGATTCAAACAATTCTTTTGATAAAAAAGAAAGTTATCAGAATTACTAGTACATGGTTTACTCTCTCAGTAATATCCAAAATACGTTTGACATTGTTTAGACCCGACATCATAATATTGAAAATATCATTTCTTAGTATACAGTTACAAATTTCTTAAAATGTAAGCTATTATTTCGAAAGGCAAGAACAAAGGCCAGAGTGACTCCCAACTATTATGAGACTCAATTGTGTCAATGTATAAAGTTCTAATAGTCCACGTGAATCTTAAATCGGCTTCTATTTTTTAGTTCTGGCCAACACAACGAAGGAATTACCACCACATATACCAATAGAATCTCTATTTATTTCATAATCACCAAATTTAATCTTCTTCTTCCATTATCTGAGCAGATGCACTTCTTCTAATAAAAGTAATAATAGTGAAATTCACAGGATGTATAGAATGAAACGATGATTGAAAAAATAATCTTGAATGCAAGATATGGCTTCAATCGCTACATTAATCCTGCCCATTTGTGAAAATTCCCTACTTCTTTTGCCAACAACCCTGATTCGGCCCCTCATAAAGGTTGCTTAAATTCCTCGTGAATATGCATTTAAGTGCCAAGGCATTG